ATCTAGGTACTGACCAGACTCAATGTAGCTTAAGTTCTGTCATCGTGACAGAACCGGTGTTTCAAGGTGATATGGCCGTAAGCTTTTTTATTCCTTCAAACGTTGTTCGAGTGGGTAGTCATATTCGAAATTAAAATAAAATGGGCCGTCTATTCCAAAAAGACTATAATGTTTTTTATGCACACACACACACATACCTTTCCACATATATATATATATATATATATATATATATATATATATATATATATATATATATATATATATATATATATAAGAAAGATAGTCTTAAGAGAAATATTTATGGGATAAAGTGTCAATATCAGAGATAGAGCGTGTGTAAATAAAGTGAACATAATATCAACACTTAGAGGCGGCAGTCTGTTTCATGCTAGATGCAATCGTCGTGACCTGTCGATTGCATATAGCATGAAACAGACTGTCGCCTCTAAATGTTGACTTTATGTTCACTTTTATATACATATATATATATATATATATATATATATATATATATATATATATATATATATATATATATATATATTACCCTGACGATCCGTGTAGGTGAAACCTATGTAGGTTTGTCTACATCTTTGGGTTTACTTAGTTTGTTCTACATTGCGTACTTCATAATCTATGGTCTTTTTCCTATCTCTTGCCACCACGATAAGTTTTACTCGTTGCTCCATAGCTTTGTGGTCACCTGGACGGTATATCTGATCAGTTAACTTGACTTTATGCCTAAGTAGAATAAACTCAAACAGAAAATCTTACGATCTAAGCCTCCTGCCGACATTGTCAAAATTTACTGAAAGTAACGCCATGATTTACGGAGTCGAGTCATTCCTAAGAATTAAATTCTGTGAGTTCGAGATTTCCCCATACAAACCTTTGATAAACATACTTTTCCTTTACATAGACAGTATATGCGTGTTTATCGTCACGTAATGAGGCTGTTAAGCAATTGTATTTCTCTTGAACATGACAAATAATACGCGTGCACTAACACATGACAAATGGTGAAATGTCATAATAACTTGAACTTAAAATCAGGAAAACAAAATTAAAATGACGTAATTCTAATTCAGCAAAAGAAAAGTTCAGTGAATTCTATCTTGTCATGTCGCTAACATAACAAAATTAAAAAGTTGAAAATCAGAAACAAATTTCATCCAGTCTTTATTGCCATCAAATTAACAGGTATGTTGTTTTTTGTAATGTTTAACTGTATAAACGTAATAAAAATGCCATAATTGATACACGCTTGAATTAACCTGTTTCTTTCAATTCATGAATGAGAAGACCCGATTTGCCGCAGGAGGCTGCCGTTTCTTTCTGCTATAGAATTGTAGCCATTCACGGCTATAGGACTCCAGTCTATCGTGGTACTCATCCCATAATTGGCAAGAGAAGAAGTGTATACATACTTTTTCCAATAGTATTTTGCACAGAAGGGAATATAAAGAGCATTAATGCAATTCTGAGTAGTTATTTTTTCACTCCACCATAGCCATAAGAAACAATAAAAAAAAATAACATTTTGGAAAATAAAAATAAAAATATAGACCACTCTTTAGCGTATAAAAGGAGATTTTATTAAAATTAATTACGTTTATATTCATATCTTACTTTATATTAATATTTATTTTTTATATTCAGTGATATACAAGGCGTAAAAGCAAAATTGTCCAAGTCCACTCAACATTGCTCAGTTGTAAAGACTGTAGGTATGGCACAAAAATATTTCAAACTGTTCTCTTTCTAGCCCAATGTGGTTCTCATTGATTCTTACGATAAATGGTGTCAAAATGGCCGAATGTTTTATTTGAAAACCTGGAAAAAAAGAAACTCAATTAGTTTAATCTTGTGGGATGGATAATTATGCTGTAACCTGATTTGGGCAATTTTGCTGTTACACCCGGTATCTATGTGTGTGTGTGTGTGCACGTGTGTGTGTGCGTGTGTGTGTGTGTGCGCGTGTGTGTGTGCGTGTGTGTGTGTGCGCGCGCGTGTGTGTGTGCGTGTGTGTGTGTGTGTGTGTGTGTGTGTGTGTAAATGTAAAACTCGTATGAAGATCACAGTGAAACCTGGAACTGAAGGTTACATTACAATGTTGTTTCTAATGTCCGTCATCTTTCACTCATTTTCTCTTTCTCTCTTTTGACATTCTCGCACGCTCTCTTTATATATATATATATATATATATATATATATATATATATATATATAATCATTTATTTAAAAATATGATTCCATCGCTACATAAGAGATCTCATGTTTCAAAACAAGAGCCGAAAACTTCAATATACTTATTTGAATTAAATTGAATTAAAGTACCAAGCTCTGTTCCATCTTCAACCGAATATTTTTTTGGGAATAACTAATTCCTGGAATTTACGCGTTTTATAAGAATATTCATTATTAAAATTAAAATTACTATGTTAAAGGCTAGAGCAATTAATTAAAAAAAAAGGGAGTAAGGATTATTTACCTAACGAGTTCTTTCCTATTTTCTATATATTTTTACACACACACACACACACACACACACACACACACACACACACACACACACACACACACACACACACACACAGTTTGTGTGTGTGTGTCACTGTTTATGTGTGTATCTGTGTTTGTGCGTGCTTTCGTGTGTGTGTGTAAAAATGGACATTATAGACAACATTGAGTGGTGAATGTCTGTTTCATGCGTGAACGCCAACTTCATGTCATGTACAGGAGCCCGATTTAAAACATACGTTATTAAACTTAATAATTGAGGTTTACCGTCTGAGTTTTATTGACAGTGTTTCATAAAGTGGATTTACGCATTTGTAAGTTTCATTTCCTTACTCATATCGGGGGGTGCAGGTTAAAACCCTGCCAATGGGAACGTTATCCCCCGTAAAGTCTCTCGAAAACATAGGACTGCTGAACGTCAATTATTCTGTTAAGAATAACAAATGAAGCAAAACTGCGGAATCTATTTAAACACGTGTATGCACTACATATAACCTTTGTCGTATAATATATATATATATATATATATATATATATATATATATATATATATATATATATATAAATATAAATATTTAATGAAAAACAGACTGACAGGTCTGTTTTTCATTAAATATTAGCTCTGTTCTTCACATTGAGCTCTCAGGATTTCATCCTCCTTGGATTTACCAATTCGGTTTACAAAGTTCTTCATAACTTATATATGTGTGTGTGTGCGTATTTTTGTGTGTATATGTATGTGTGTGCGCGCACGCGCGTATATTGGGAGAATTCTTTTCCAGAGTATTCCTTATCTCTTTGATCTTTACGTTCATGAAAAATTTTAACTCTTCTGTCTGAGATCCTGAGTCAAAATTCGCAAATAATTGGTATGTAATGTTTCCCGATAGATATAAAAATAGTTACAAATGTTTACACATCGTTCAACCGGTGGCTGGGCATTAAATCATTTTTTCTACCACCGTTCAACAGTTGGATAGGGATTATGTCATTTTTCTCTACCACCGGTAAAAAGGTGGTCAGGTCTAAATGAGTTAATTTCTAAACATCTTTTTCAAATCTTGCATGTTAACTCAAGTGTATATCTTGCTTTTTACGTGTTTTGTCAGTTTTTTCATCTATGTGTCGTGACCCTTCAGAATGTCGAGATCGTTCGCTGGTACAGTTTTCATCTGTCTGTATTGTCTTCATTATATCCTGTGAGTATCAAAGTTTCCAAGGCCTCTTTCCGAGTTATTCGGCCTAGAAATTCTAACTTCCTGAAATAGGTTTCTCTTTCAATATAGCCATGTCTCCATTAAACACGTTATTTCATTGTTTCGTTATTTTGTCATATCATGGAATAATTTTTACAAACGATTTCTATCGCAAATACAAATAAAGTTTCGAATTTTTTAAATTGCACACGAACTTTATGGACAGCCTGTATACACACACACACACACACACACACACACACACACACACACACATATATATATATATATATATATATAATTATTTATTTAAAAATATGATTACTTCGCTACATAGGAAATTATTTACCTAACGATATCTTTCCTATTTTCTATATATATTCACGCATATATATATACATATATGTCTGTGTGTGTGTCTATGTGTGTGCGTGCTTTCGTGTTTGTGTAAAAGTGGACATTATAGACAACACTGAGTGGTGACAGTCTGTTTCATGCGTGAACGCGATCTTCATGTCACGTGCAGGAATCTGATTGAGAGCATATACGTTCTTTAATTCTTTCGTTATTTTGTCATATCATGGAATCATTCTAACTGTTTGTTTTCAGCTTTCTGATGCTGTGTATAAGTTTTCGTTTTTTATTTCCATTTTCTGTCAAACTTCGCCATTGGTTACCTGTTCAGTCCATGTTATTCTCAGCATCCTTCTGTAGAACCATTTCTTTTGTCTCAAGACTCTTCTTCATCTGTTGAGATTTTCCAACATTCACTTCCATATAGGAGAAACGTTATTACATAACGGTTTATTTTATCTTATTTTATTTATAAATAAAATGTTTCTGTTTCTTAATTCTTTGCTTTGCTTTTTGAAGGCATCTTTCACTGTCCTAATGCGCTTTCGGATTTCGATTCTTCTAACATGAAGCTTTCTTTCTCTTGTACACGTCAGTGTTTTGCATCTCAAAATGATCACTCTTGCTCTCGTTCTTTTTCTTTTAAAGGCATTTTATTTATCGTTGTTCGTCTTCGGAGTGAGGCACCCTGGCCAGGTGGCTACAGCTGGAGTGTGACGCATTGATACTGTTTATTACTAAGCCGACGACGAAGATACCATGAGCATAACTTGTTAGAGGGGCTAGAAAAATCCTGCACAAACATCAAGATGAAAAGATGCCACCCAGTAAAGATGGAATTTGGTGAAAGAACGTTTCAAACACATTTGTTGTGAAAAGCAGACAAGAAAAATAGTCGGGTGGAAATAAAGGGTAAGTTATTTGCACTTATATGAAATGAATGTCCCAAGAAAAAAGATAAGTAAAAGAAGAAAATAAATAGAAATATAGAAGCGAAGAGAGGAAGAAAAATGTGAAAGAAAGAAGAAAAAGAAGAGAAATAAATACAATGACAAAAAAATAGAGAAAAGGAGGGGAAAAGACGTATGTTAAAAGAAGGGGAAACGGTAGAGTTTTTAATACTAACATTGAAAAAGGAGAGTTGAAAGAATGAAAGATCATATAAACATCGCAGAAAGACGAATGAAAAAGAAAAATCCGTAAACTAAATAGGAAAATGGAATATAAGAAAATAAAAATAATCAAAAATAGAAAGGAGGAGAAGAAAGGGAAAAAATCAGTTGAAAGAAAGAAATTAAGAAAAAACAAACAAAAACAGCGAGGAAGACAGAAAGAAAAAACTAGTAAAAAGAAAGAAAAAAAAAACAAAAAAACAAAACAAAACCAAGTCAGAAAGGTAGAAAGAAAGAAAACTCTACTGAGAAAGAGAGAAACAAAAACCATGCAAGAAAGATCGAAAGAAAAAGATATTGCGAGAAAGAAAGAATAACTAACTGAGAAAGACAGAAAGAAAAAAAAAACATGAAAGAAAGAATGACAAAGTTAGAAAGATAGAAAGAAAAAAAGAAAGAAAGAACATCGGGTAGAAATAAGAGGTAAGTTGTTTGCACTTATATGATATGAATGTCTTATGGAAAAGATAAGTAAAAGAAGAAAGGAGATAGATAAATAGAAGCGAGGATAGGAATAAAAATGTGAAAGAAAGAAAAAAGGAGGGTAAGAATTACAAAGACAAAAGATAGAGAAAATCAGTGAAGAAAAGACGTATGCGAAAGGAAGGCAAGTGGTGGAGTTTTTAATAATAACATCGAATAACGAGAGTAAAAAGAAAAAAAGAAAGAAAGAAAGAAAGAAAGAAAGAAAGAAAGAAAGAAAGAAAAGAAAGATGAAAGTTGTAAAAAGAACGGGAGAGGGAAGAGCGGAAGGAAATATCAAAAACCAGGAATTGAGAAACGATTGATGAAAACGCAAGTAAAATAAATGAAAGTAAGAACGTGACAAAAGAAAGAAAAATAAGAAAAGCAAATAAAGAGAAAAAAAAAACGAAAAAAATAATGTAGCGAAGAAGGCGGAGAAAACCCAAAGAAATGAAAGAATATAAACATCGCAGAATGACGAATGAAAAAAAAATCCAAAAATAGGAATATAAAAAATAAAAATAATCAAAAATAGAAAGGAAGAGTAGAAAACGAAAAAATAATCGGAAAGAAGAGAGAAATAAAGATTAAAAAAACAAACAGAAACATAGCAAGGAAGATAGAAAAAAGAAAGCAAAGCTAATGAAAAAAAAAACAACAAAAAAAAAAAAACACCCAAACAAAACCTAGTGAGAAAGAAAGAAAACTCTACTGAGAAAGATAGAAATATGCAAAGAAACAAAAACCATGCAATAAAAATAGAAAGAAAGACAAATATAGCGAGAAAGGAAGAATATCAGAGTTTGAAAGAATGGAAAGAAATAAACAAACAAAATCCAGGTGAGAAAGAGAAGAAGAAAGAAAAGTCGAGTTTGAAAGAAAGAAACAAACAAAGCATTAGAGAGAAAGATAGAAAGAAAACCTGATGGGAAAGATAGAAAGAAAGAAAAACGCAGTAAGAACAAATAGAAAGAACGAAAAACATATTAAGAAAGAAAGAAATGAAGAAAGAGAATGTGAAAGAAAAACAGAACGAAAGAAAGGACGAATAAAAGATCGATGGAATAGAAAGAAGGAAAATGTTACAAGAGAAAGAAAGAAAGAATGAATGAAAATACGCATAAGGAATAATAACAAATTAAATGGAGCTGAGCGACAAAAGAGAGCTCAATAGAAGCGTTACTATAGAGCACATACACACACACACACATATATATATATATATATATATAGAGATAGATATATGCAAGCAGTATAAACAGTGCATGTTGATAAGATATTTCACGCTTTAGGCTATCTTCACACCAATGTGTCACTTTACCTACAGCACGATTTATTTAAAAGCCAATGGTGAATCAAAGAAAGCGGGTAAGAAAAAAAAAAACAGGTTCATTTCACTTACTAACCTCTGGTCTATATATAACTCCTCATAAAGGAGCAATGACACATGGTGTGAAGATCGTTTGTTAAATGGAATTGACAGTCACCGTGCATTGTCGTTACCGACGTTCATATTGTCTAAAGACAGCCTGTCTTTGACATGGAGATCTTTTTGCTATAAATATAGTAAACGTTAAATAATACGTGCAACTTGACTTCGGCTGACACCCACATATATTATTTGAAACGTTATTTTAATGGATGGTCGTGTTTGAATAGACGTCTTGTTTTTTAAACAGTTTATATTACGTCTAACGCCCAGCGCACTTGGAGGGAAAATTTTCTTTATTGAGATACCTCACGTGCTCAGAATGGTAGACATAAAAAAAAAAAAAATCAGGGCGTCTCTTCAAACATAGTCATCCACTAAAAACATAACTTTTGAAGTAATAAAATATCGGATTATATATATATATATATATATATATATAACGAAATATACGCTGTTGTGCCATATTCATGGGATAAAGTGCTCAATATCAGAGATAGAGCGTATGTAAATATAAAAGTGAACATTGAAGTGAACACTTAGAGGCGACTGTCTGTTTCATGCTACACACAATCGCCTCTAAGTGTTGACTTCAATGTTCACTTATATATATTTATGTAATATATATATATATATATATATATATATATATATATATATATATATATTATTTGGAGTTTTTGGGTAGTTAAGTACTAGTAATTTTTTTTTTAAATGATATAACTAATTTTTGTGGATATTAGTTTTCTTTAAAAAAATTAATGTTTATTAATCTGAAGTACTTAACTGTGGACAAAATGATATAACTAATTTTTGTGGGTATTCATTTTCTTTAAAAAAAAAATTAAAAAATTAAATTTTATGAATGCTAAAAAAAAATCTGAACACTAAAATATTTGTTCCATATGAATTTGACTTTACTAAATTTGGAAAGAAGATTCCTTAATACACCCAAAAATGAGGGGGTGTTGCAGTTTTTTGGGGTATTTAAGTACTAGTGAGCTAGCCTAAATGAGCTGACTCATTTTATAGTTCACCAATAGAAGGGTTAACCAATCAGAAGGCTCAAAATATTCAATGCAACGTACAAAGGCGGTCATGTTTTTTCTCTCCCAAATTCTCTGCACTGCCAACCTGATATCGAAGACTTATAGAATTACTTAACAACCGCTACTTTCTCTAAATCTTCACTGGCGACCTCCGATATTGAAGAGATTACGGTCTTCACTGGATTCCATATTCAGAGACTGCGGCAAACATGGTCAACATTTTATCCGAAATTATTCCTTATTATAAACGTTGATTTCAGTGCTTATCCTAGTATAAAACTGGTGCTAGGGAATATAGAGAAAAACGAACTTTCGATAATATATTTATTGAAAACTGCCAGTCTGGGTCGGTGGCGAAACTGGTATAGGCACACTATGAATAAAAAAAAATGGTTAACCTTATGGAAAAAAAAATGTTTACATTGTTTAATACTCAAACACATATAGCCACTAAAAATAACATTTATATAGATAATAAAATCATATATATATATATATATATATATATATATATATATATATATATATATATATATGTGTGTGTGTGTGTGTGTGCTCAACGTTACCTTAAATGGTGTGCTGTAATTGACATATACCGGGTCCGCCACAAAGTGTATACACATTTCAGGAGGTAAACAGATAGTAAATGTATTGTAATACTAAATTTATTCAAGCACTACGAGATTAATACAAGTTACCTTTGGACTTTACAATCACAAGAGATGCTCAAATTGGTGAACATTAGTTTTTAGACATTTATTAGTGTAGCGAACTAGTACTTGGGTAACGTTGGCTAAAGTATTCTTTGAGATTGCTGCACATGCATTTTTAATTTCTTCTCTAAGGGCTGACAATGGTATCCATTTTTCTGCAATACACAACATCATTTAGGCACCTATATAATTAATAATTTGCAAGTGTTAAATCAGAACTTGGAAGACATTTGACAGTACGTCTTTGTCCTGGCCAGTGTGCTTGCAAATTCTCGGTTAGATTAGTTCGCGTAATATGGCGGGATACCAACTTTGTGAAATAAAATTTCATAATTTCTATCAAGTAAATCAAGTTATTAAGTTGTTTTTTATATATATATAAACGAGATATCGATACATAATTCAATTGGCCTTACTCAGACGATCAGGTGTATACTGTGGCCCATCTTCATGGAATATATCTGGTGTCACTATACACATCTGGAAACTGCTGATTAAGATGGTTTGGTTATATGAAATAAAACCAGTAACATTTCTGAGAATCTCATCAATGAAAAATAAAGAACACGAGAAAAAATTAAAAGCAAACATTTTTTATATATATTCCAACTCGTTGATCGCTTTCCGCTAAACATCTGTAGCTTGAGAACTGACGTCTTCCTTGCACAGGAAGTCATTTCTGATTTTCTATTCCAGCGCGCCATTTAGCAGCAGTGACAGATTTACCTCTTAAGGTTAATTTTGTTTATTTTACAACTTGTTGTATTTTTTGTGCTGAATCGTCTTTCACATTGCCTCCAGTTGATCACTCTTGATATTTTCAACATTCGAAAAAGTCTATGTCGGTCAGCTCAAAATCCCCTCTTTTTTATACTTAGTAAGCCATTCCAAACACGTGCTTCCATTTTGTGCTTTCGAGGTCCGCTGAGCGCTTACGGTGCCCCTTTTCTCCAGATTAAACATGAACAGTGAACAATATCGAATATTCAGAAACGATCAATAAAAAATAAAGTACGACCTATGTGTGAACGTTTCCGGGAAATAATCACTTCTTAACTGTTTGCTCATAGTTATCAATGACCCTAAAGAAAATAATTATTATCTGTGCGCAAAATTCTCCGGCGAAAAACCGTAGAGTCAGCAATGTCTGGCAAGAAAATAAAGTATCAGCTGTGTGCAAACGCCTTTACATAAAAATGTTTTTTAACTGTGTGTTGATGATATCTGTCCTCCTGTATGTCAGTGAATGCTGGACAATCTTCCCAGAGATGAAGGAGAGACTCTAAGCAACAGAAATGATGTTCTACAGAAGGTTGCTAAGGATACCATTGGCCAAACATGAGAAAGCAACGACGATGTTTTGGAGAGAATGGAAACAAAGAGGAAAATTATGCTCAACTTCAGGAAGAAGCAGGTGAAATTGCTGGGACATGTAGCGAGGAACGTCGTCTTGGAAAATCTGATACTCACAGGGCGGTCGAGAGGTACAGGGTAAAGCAACGCTGGACATACCTAATCGTCTTGAGCAAATGGATGGCAGAACAGGGTCTTGGAAAAATAATAAAAAAACAAACATATTAAGAGCTACGATAGACAGGAGGATAGGGAGGGCCATGATCGCCTACGTCCTGAACTGGCACGGCACATAAAAGAATAAGATTCAGTTTCCCAGTGTGCAAAAAATTTTCCAAGTCATGATTGATAGATAAGTATGGTCAGATTGTTGAAGATTTCATGAAGTGATTAACATTTTAGATAAATTTGATGATTATATGCTCTTATGGCAAAAAGACATAGAATTTAGGAAATAGAAAAACTTAAATGAAAGGCGGTATTAAATGTATCCGTTGAAGGATATTGTGAAACATCGCGTTATGATGACCATAGTACACTGAAAAACGACAATGATGAACACAAAAAGATTACAAGAGGCGCATATGTTTTAAAGACTGAAATAGAAGAGAAAAAATGGCATACGGAAAAAAAGATAAACACAAAGAAAGAAAGAAAGAAAGAAAGAAAGAAAGAATACATGAACAAACAGTCATAAGAAAGAAAGAAAGAAAGAAGACATGAAAAAACAGCCATAAGAAAGAAAGAAAGAAAGAAAGAAAGAAAGAAGACATGAACAAACAGTCATAAGAAAGAAAGAAAGAAAGAAAGAAAGAAAGAAAGAAAGAAAGAAAGAAAGAAAAAATAAATAAAGAAAGAAAGAAAGAAAAAGTAAAAAAGAAGGAAAGAAAGACAGGAAGAAAATGGCCTCATAAATTTAACTTGAATTAAAAATAAATAACTCTATTTATAAAATCATAAGAAATAAAGCAAGATCGTAAGATAAACAAAAGATAATAAATGAATAAAAATACTGGAGAAAAACGTGGGGAAAAGACTGGAAGGAAAAGGCGGGGAAAAAGATAGACATAAAAAAAGAAGAGAAGAAAGAAGAAAAAGAGACGAAAAGACGTATACTGAAACAAAAAAAGGAAAGAAAAGAAAAAAATAGAGTATATAGGCCATAAAAAGCTTGCAAATGAAAGAAAGAAAGAAAGAAAGAAAGAAAAAAGAAAGAAAGAGGCAGAGTAATCGTAAAAGAAAGAAAAAGAAACAGACAGATGGAATTAAAAGAAATAATGGGCCAACAAAGGATGGGCCATGAAATTATGAGAAAGTAAGAAAGAAAGAAATAAAAAAGAAGAGAAAGGAGAAAAAAGAAACGAAAAGAGCTGTACTGAAATAGACAAAAGGAAATAAAAGAAAAAAAAAACAGAATATATAGGCCATAAAAAGCTTGAAGAAAGAAAGAAAGAAAGAAAGAAAGAAAGAAAGAAAGAAAGAAAGAAAGAAAGAAAGAAAGGAAGCAGGGGCTTAACCAAATATCTAAAGACAAAAAATAATGCAAAAGGAAAGAAAGTCATGAATATAGAAGAAAAAAAAAATTAAGGTTAAAAGAAAAAATAAGCAAATCTAAGAGTGGGAAATATACGGGAAATACGTCAAGGAAAAAAATAACAGCGCGAGACAGAAATTTAAAAAAAAATACGAGAAAAAGCATAACATCTTACAGAGAACAGCACTACAAAGGTCAACATCTATCCTTATCTATATTAACGCACTTGCAAACAGGCAGGCAAGCACCAACGGGTGGGGCTGCAAAACTATTAACTGAAAATAGTCACCTGCCTTCAAAGGATCCACACGTGTAAGGTCTGAGTCACTACACCTCGCCACCGCAGATCCACTCGACATGTGTATACAAATGTTGACGCACGGAGAAAAGAGGTAGAAAATAATTACAAACGTATCTATTGTATAGTCATCTATTTTGTTTTTATTTTTGTTAAACGTTTCGTCTCTTGTGTATTAGCCTTTAGAAAGATAAAGGAGCACTGCCTGTAAACAAGTGCGAAATAATAATAATAATAATCATTGGCGCATGGCATTGGCAGTAATGCGGAGAGTAGGAGTGAAGATACGGCGTCAAAATAAACAGATTAAATTAACCAAACAAAATGAAAGAAAAAAAGAAAATAGAAAAAATTGAATAAGAAACGCTGCAGGCGTAAGAAGACAATGGGATTAATGATGGACAAACTTCTGTCAAGGTTGACAATAGATGGAGAATTTTCATTCTACTTTCTGCCATGTGCTGTTAATTTGGGTGTGCGGGTGGTGTAATGGAGAGAAATGAGAAATCAGGGAGCCAAGTTTGAATTCCTGTCGATTTCATTACATTAGTCGCAGTTAATCTTGGGTGAAATGGCAATTTCTCTCTCTCTTTCTCTCTCTCTCTCTCTCTCTCTCTCTCTCTATATATATATATATATATATATATATATATATATATAGTGATTTTCTAAGCGTATTTTAGATGTGGCACAAGGCCGAAAGTAGTGGGCACCCTGTGAGGGTCGAACTCACTAATCATTTGTAACTATTCCACCGAGAGGTACCATATATATATATATATATATATATATATATATATATATATATATATATATATATATATTATGGAAAACTAGGTAATCCTTATGGGTAGACCCAAGGAGGATATATATATATATATATATATATATATATATATATATATATATATATATATATATATATTCGAGTCTCCTGCCGTATTCGATGTATAAGACTCAAGTAGCTCAGTTCCTAGGAACCATAGCCCAACATCGTCTCATTTGAAGGTTTCGTGCAGAACCATCCACACTTTTTGAAGGACCGAATACAAGGACCTGGTGCACTACGTGCCACAAGGTCCCCAAACGATTTCCCTCCGCAGGTTTTGAGTTCAGAGTTGTCCTTCTACTTCTATAGTCTGTCCTGCTATTTACCCATAGCTGGAGGGAGAGGAAGATTTATACATTTCCCAAGTTTATTAGCTTGTAAATGAATGCAATGGATTTTTCGATATATATATATATATATATATATATATATATATATATATATATATATATATATATATATATATATATAAATATAACTATGCAGTAAGATGTTAAGTATTTGAACAGATTGGACACATCAGAACTTAAGTGACAACCCTGAATTGGAAAACTTATATAACCCTGGTAGAACACATACGACATGCAGCTAATGAAAAAATTGTGAAGGGCACAAGGACTCTATGAATCCGAGTGCAGTTGGCCTTTTTCCATGAGGATTATAAGCGAGTGAGCTAGGTGCAAACACATATTATATTCAGCGCAGAAAGTTGTTCTATAGTGGGATGGAATGATACATTTTTGCCAAAATATCCTGAGATGTATCAGAAACCAAGTTCAAGAGGATTCATTCCTTTACAAAAATACGTCTCAGAAAATGTTTTTTTGCTTCTATTGGTAATTCCATTTTCGAGAGGATTACAATTAAGCAAAGTCCACAAAATCTACAATAATATTAAACATTTATCAAATGCTTCATTATTATTAATTGTGTCTTCAAAGATACTCCCTCAGCTATTCATTGAAATAGTAGGATTTTTAACTTCAAAATATTTGTTATTTTTAAAAGAATTGTTACTGCAATATTTAATCGTAAAAAATACTCTTACGGTCAAAAATCTGTTTTAGTTTTAAATAAAGCACAAAGACACTAGTTACATTATTCGGACTATTGTTCTCATCTTTATCGCCATATTTATTACAACGTTTCGGCTGTTGTACACTCCGGCCTTCTTCGGGTAGTTGAAATGTCGAACTGGATCGTTTATTTCGCTTACTGGGGTAGATTGTTCTAGTTCCACGTGCCATGTTTAATGGATGTCAGTTATCAGTTATCTACTGTTAATTCCCTTCCAAAAGTTCTCCAATGCCTTAACCGGGTATTAAAGTCACACTTTTTGGGTCCTGTCACTAGATCTAACCAACGCCTTTATTCACTGTCCTTGAGGATACATGGCACAGTTAGACAGCCTTTATCCACTTTGCCATAGTTGATAGGCCATAAAACAGGAAAACAATCGTTCTGAAATATACTTTGTGTTTGTACTTTCTTTTTATTTTCTTCCTTTTTTTGGCTCTTTCTGTAAACAATCTAAGAACTAACAGAAAGATTCACTATTAATTTTAGAAATAATGCTATACATAAGACCTTTTCTTGTGGATACATTTGCCAAGATACTTTTTTCCGATTTTCTAGTCGACTGCAAGTCATACACTTGATCATATCCTCTGAGATAAGGGAGTTACTATAAGAGTGATGGTTCCTTAGTTTTTTGTGTACATATAATAAAAAAATGCCCGACAGCAGCTAGCTGCATTTTAGTTTGAATATCATCACATATCACATATCAACCATACATATATATATTAAATAAAATAAAATAAGGATCAAGTCTTGCAGATGCCAACTACCGCTCGCTCTCAGATCAATACTTCCTGTGAAATAACTAGACGCCATTCCAATGCTGCACATTTCTTCCCAAGACACTTGACTCACTGTACACACCAGAATCATCAACGATCGGACCTGAGTGTTCTCATGATGAAGAATTCCACTCTAAATGAAGCTCCATAATTTGAACGTCTGCCGGGGATCAATTTCAACGCAAACCTCATTTGCTACTCATATATACAATCCACTAATAATGCTGGACAACTTCTAATTCTATTCCCCCAGAACGTATCTAACTCCTCATCACTTTTTAAAACCATTTCACTCCAAGCAAGAAAATAAAGCCACTAAGACGGAAATGGTACTGAATGTTCAAAAAATATTAGAAAAAAAAATATTATTAAAGAGTGAGAACCTTAAAAGAACAAGAATTAAGATGACAGAAGATAACGGTTAAAACTGCATTTAAATAATTGAAGTGCAAAGTTGACTGGAAAACCGAAAGAGATTTACTCAAGCAAGAAGTGCGAGAGAAGACAATGATAGGATATAATTTACGTTTACATCAACTCATTTTCAACTGTAAAATCTAATACAACGCTTAAATTAATAAAATCTATGCACCAAAGATAAAAGCACGTCATAACCATTACCATTAAAATATTTATAGAAAAGGCAGAGGGAAGCTACGCTACAGCGATGGTAAAGTGGCTTTGTATTTTATCAAAACATTCTAAATAGATAAGAGAAGTACGAGACCAGATGTGACAGCAATCTTGAACGCATGGAAGAATGGTACATTATGACGGGTAAGATTGTCTACTACGAATCAGTGAACCAACTTTTCGTCAAAAGTTCCGTCTTGGAGAACTTAAAATTCAAAATATATTTCTTGCTCCAAATAACAAAAAACTGGGGGTCATTTTAGAGATCAGCTACCTTATAGAACCGATTAGAAATTACGACAGGTGTAAATAGGTGTGTCAAAGATTATGGGTTGGGTTAAGAATTGATGCCATCCGGAAGGTGGTTGATAAAAATTAGAATCAACCTAGGTCCAAGGAGAGATCCCTGGGGGATGCCTGAATTAATTCAAAAAGATCCATACTAGTCATTCATTTTAATAATTGATAAGATTGATTATGACATGCTTTAGCTTTACAAAAACTCAAATGTTCCCCAAAATAACATATTGATGACGTATCTTGACTCAAGCTGTTTATTAATATTTTGCTTAGCTTTTGAAAGGCATTATTCTCTATTCCAATGTAACTTCAGATTACTGCGTCACATTTTCGGCCCTTTCTTAAAGCAACTGCCACACATTTCAATTCGTATATATGCCTAATTTTAACGTCACCAATCTGTAGCTCACATCTTTTGCTAACCCGAAATGTACCGACCATGCATTCTGTCTTCTCCCGACATGTCTCGTTCTTTCTTCTATATTTCATTTAATACTCCTTGTAGGAGTTCCTGAATTTTTCTGTGTCAACATTCAACACAGTATTATCTTATATTATTAAGATTGTGCCAGCCTATAATAAATTCTGTTAATTCTACGTGTGTGAAAACGCAAACATTGTTTGATAATGTCAGTAGGTGCCCAGGTAAGGATGTAAACTTTGTACATGTCACATAAAGCTAATCAACAACTGTTTTACTGCCAACGTTTCTAAAAATATTGAAACGAAAAGGAAAGTAAACCCAAGTTAGAATTTAGACCATAGAACATTAAAAGGGAAAGGTAAACGTAAAAAAATAAATGCAGAAGGTCGAATATATCCAGCGGAAAGTTTCTTCATTTGTATACGTTTTCGTTGGCGACTTGACGTGATGAAATGCCATTTTATCGCTAGATAAATCACGATTGAGTAGTGAGTTCGACCCTCACTGGGCGGTACATAATTTCGGCTTTGTACCATATATAAGCTATGCCTGGTAAATCACAATACTAAATTTGTTATAACTGCTGCTGCGAAAATTGGTTCTACGTGTGCCACATCTAAAATACGCTTAGTAAATCGCTATATACCATTCCCTATAGGAACTGTGTGATGATGGCTCTCTATAACTTCCCGTTTTTGATGTTCTAACTTGTAGTGTTTTCATATCTTCGCATTTTCTTTGCTCTGGTGTACATTTCATGAACCCGTTTAAGAAAATTACACGTTGTTTTTATTATGCCCTTTATGTTTTATATTTACAAACCCCTCTTTCCTCGATATGAAACCAATAAATTTCAGTTATCGCTTTTCGTATTTCTTAGCATCGATTTCCTTGTAGGTTCTGTTCACTTTTACGCTTCCTCGTTAAAGAATATTTCGATTCAAGGCATTCTCAGATATCGTCAGTAGAAGTATATTTTTGCGCAATTTTATCCCAGAAACCGTTCTTCTTCTGTGATTAAATTGCCCATTGATGTTAACAAGAAACGGAACGTACATGACAGCAACAGATGTTTTGAAATGTCAAACGTGTAAAATACTTCCTACCAATCAGATCATTGCAATTTAGAACCTGGAACGGAGTTGATAGGTTTCGAATATGGGAGATAATTTGATCAAATTTTGGATGGCGCTTATGAATTTTTAAAAATGTTCACCCCAAGCAAAAGCGACTTTTATCGTGAGTGAAAGAACCTGACATGACGTTAGAAGAAACAGACAAAAAAAATAATATTAAAAGAGACAAAAAAAAATGACGTTTGATGCTACATTTGAATATTTAAAGATCATAGTAGACATGAAGACAAAAACTAAAAGTGAATTTCACAAGCGAGAA